CAGATTACACACTAAAACCGAGGGTCTGAGGAGGCCGTAACACGCGATTGAGGGTTATCGAGGAAGTGCCTGTTCAGCCATCTTCTCCGTCGGCGTCGTAGACGGAAGGCGATTCGCATGCTTATCCTTCTCTCTCGTTCTCTTTGCCGATGCACGCGGACAGAGCTCTCACAGTAAAGGAAATTCGCTATGCGAGCGTGGAAAAGGTGGAAAGCGTTTGATCGGAACTGATGCCGCCAATGCGTACTTAGGCGTTCATGCAACCCATCGCCCCCCCCCCCCCCTCACCCAATCGGTCAAGTCATTTTCAGCTTTCGGTGCGATCGGAAACTTGCTGCCGCGGGAGGAACTGCCGAGAGGAGAGGGGGGGGGGGCGATGCCGACAAGAAACGTCAGATGTACTCGTAGTGGGCAAGATATTGTTCAGATTGTAATAATCTCCTTTTGCTCTCTGCCATCCAGTCCTTCGGTCGCTCGATCGGTCGGTCGGTGGGTCAGCTAGCAAGCCGTCGGACGGAACGATCGAACAGATCGGCAAGCAATTCGATTGCTAGGCCCCGGCCGCCTGATTCTCACCCGGAATCCCGGGTAGCTTTTTTCCCCTTTTATTTTTCCTCTCACTAGCGCCGCGGGATGCTCAGGGACTGTCTGTTCGCTTGGTCGGACGGCCGCTGGGTCGGTCGGTCGAACGCCATCACCGACACTACGACTAAACGATGGCCCGAGTACACGCCACGCCGCCGTGCACTCCAATCGTAATAAAGCAGGTTAATTTCTTTCTCCGCCCTTGTGCAGTCCTGACGGCGAAGATGCTGTGAAGACATGCCTGTTCGACTCATTGCTCCTGCGTTCAATGGGCAGACGAGTGAAAACGCCGCGCCGGCCGTCGAACCAAGTAGTGGATTCGAGAAAGATAAATAATCGAAACGATACCGTTCCCGAGAAATTCCTCATTAGGCCTCGGGATCAACATCCTGTGTCCCTCAGCTAGTGAAGTCTGGCGTCTCCCCGAGTTTCTGTACCAGTCCATTCTGCGGGCCAGAAGGGAAATACGTGTACAGTGAGGAATAAGAGATAATTCGTATTCCGAGAACGTTTCGTATTCTCTGTGGTGTGACAGAGTGCCCGGGACTCGATCGAACCATCACGGGGGAGCTCCGGGGGACCGTCAATGACTTTGATAAAGTACGCGTTAATCCAGTCATGCATACTTTCCTTCGGAGCGGATGGGAAAATTTCGCGATCTATGGAACGAGCGACAAAAGTCCGAGCGTTGTCTGATCCATCGACCCGGTCTCGGACGTACAGATGGAGGGGCCGGCCGTCGATTTGGTTCGGTCGGTTGGTCGATGGCCGTCGTTCTCGTTGTCCCGGATAGATCCTTTCCCAGAATGGCACCGGCAGCTAACCGATCATCGAGTAGCGTCCAGCATGGCGGGGGAGGTGGGGGAGGCGGGTGAAGGGTGGAGGGGACGAGTGCGATTGGGAACCAGCCGTTTTGGTATCGCCAGCCGACCGATCGGGCACGAGACTGCTTCTGCGCCTTTGTGAAAATCGGTTTGGAACTCGCGTTCATTCGGCGAACATCCATCTTAATCTGGAGTGTCATGGTATTAGAAGTCGTCGTCGTCGTGCTGCTTTTTTCTCTGCCGTTCGTTGTCGCCAGCCCTCATCCCCTTAAGCGCCCTGAACCCTGTTCTGCGCCTTTCCTACTTGCGGGAAGTGAGCCGAGGACGGGGCGGGTCGGAGATCCCGGACCCTGACTACAGCTGATTAAGCAGATGTTACCCGATTGGGGAAAACAGGACCGAACGACGGGAAGATTGAGGGTGTTCTGTTTTCCGCGATTTTGTTGCCGCTGATGATCCCGAACGACGGGAAGCGCGGAGGCGGACGAGGTAATCGCGGTCGGTCGGAGATCGTGGGAAGGGGGAGGGGGGGGGCAGGGCAGTGGTGAAAGGTGGAAAGTAGAAGAAGGGTGAATGACGCCCTCGAAAGAAATCGTGCCAACAGAAACGGGTCTGAGTTGTTGGCAAGACGAAAGAGTACCAGCTAAACTCACTTGCTGCTGTTCTCCCCGTCTATGACGCCCTCTCATCACCCCTCACTACATTTCCCCCCGCGTACCTCCGTACTCAGCTCTCTCAACAGTCAGCCAGACGCGCTCCAGGGACGCCAGCCGGCGCTGAATAAATGCGTCACATAAATCCAAATTAAGAGAATAATACGATTCTGCTGTTGGCTGCTGCTGCTGCGGCGGCGACGTCGACGGCGAAGACGACGACCACCAGCGAATCCACACCTCTCGGTCTAACGGCCGTAAAGCTAGATTCCCCGCCGGCTGGCGAATTCTCGATCCACGAAATATCACGAACCGCCTCTCAGCAGCCCGAGCTCAACCGCTCGATTCGGAGGAGGTACCAAATACCGAATATAATACCAAGTAATATGTTTCTCGCGTGTAAGATCTCCTGATCGACGGGCGTCGGCATCGCAAGTTGTACATTCGACCCATTTTTCTCTATCCATCGGCAATTAGCCCTTGAAGCTTTGGAAACGCTAAATGATGAGGATGAAAACTAAAGCATTTCCGTTTTACGGGCTCGATGCTGAACGCCCGGGAGAGATCTGGGCCCCAGCGGATCGGACCTCTCTCCGATTTCTCTCGTCATATTGCGGTCCGGGCGAGTGTGGCGCAGCCATCCGATTCAAGTAGAGTTTGCTGCATGCTCCCCAGTCGTAAATTTTGTCGATCACGATGGCCGGCCGAGTTGTATAAAACGACGACGGCGGTAGCTCTGCTTGTTGGGGGTCACGTAAGAGCGCTCGGCGATCTATTCCTCCTCGTTCTCGAGCCTTCACTTCTGCGTCTTCGCTGCTTCACTTCGTGGTTCGCTTATCCAACAAGCCGATGTTGGAGCGATGTCCGAAGTGTTCCCCTTCGCAGCGAATCTCTCACCCTCAGTCGCAGGAGCGTACCCAGGATTTTTTCTTGGGGGGGGCCAGACTAGGTTTTCGGGGGGCCTGAGATCCAAAATGATGAGGTACCCTGTACTCC